ACAGCAACTTGTCTGTTCCCCTTTCCCCAATTCCCCAGCACTGTTCCCATCCCCCCAATTTCCCAATAAAAATCTTTAAAAAAAAAAAAAAAAAACAGCACACATTCCTTGACCCAAATATATAAATCTGTGCTTATGCATATTCCATAGGCAACATCCATGAGAATTTTAAGAACATAGAAAGAAGTTAGGAAGGAAAAACAAAATATTAAAAACTGTTTTATGGTCATAACACTGTAGATAAAATCTTTTCAATTATCTTCCTTTTTCACATGATATAAATTAACACTAAATCTGGCCTGCACGCTAGTCCATATTCTTCTGTATATTTCCTCTCTGACTTGAAACAGGGTACTTCACTTTCCTGGTTAATATTTACTCAAGGAACAAGCTGCCTCCGGTAGAATGAATGTTTCCTAAAGGAATAAACAGAATAACATCTGTACAATATCTCTACACAATAGGTGCTCGATGAATGTTACTTGAATCAAGCATTCTTTCTTTCCAATGTTACTATATTACCTCTCCATTCACCCACCAGCTTCCAAAATCCCTCCATGTCATTTATTTGTTCAGAACGAAAAACCGAGTTAGACCTTCCAAGCGTTTTTTCCCACAGCACATCTGCTGTGTACAGAGTAGGTACAGTGTATTATTTCTCAAATCAAATAGACTCCCTTACCTACGGCCCAAGTGTCAATAAATAAACTCAGCACTTCCAATGTACAACCAACAAGGACTGGAGAAGGGAGCAGAGAAAGAAAATGGAGAAGGGAGCAGAGAGTCACAAAGCAGTGATTCTTTCCCGTAAGATGAGTTCTTACCTAGAAAGTTGTCTCCACGCAGACTGGTCCCCAGGAACAAATGAGAAGCAGCAGGTTTTTCCAGAATATGAAATTCCCTTTATCTTGGCATGTATAGCCAGGACCTGCAAAGTGTGTGTGGTAAATTAGCTGAAGTTCTTTTGTTGTTGTTGTTGTTGTTGTTTCAGCTGAGCCATCCTGCTACCTGTTGGCAGCTCAGCAGCTGCTCAGCTCAGGCCGGGCATCGAACCGCTGTTGCTCAGAGCTCACACTCTTGAGCGAGCTCTTAACCAACTGAGCCATAAGCTGAAGTTCTTAATGTGGACCTTGCTCTTTCAGAGGCTGGGGTGAGAGGAGGAAAGCTTCCATTCACGGGTGTGGGATCCAGAGGCATTTAGTCTCTCCCTCTGAGTCACATGTTCAGAAGACCAGTTCTTTACGCTTGGGAGTCTGGTTGTGTCTCAGGGGCTGGATCCTCTTGCTACCGTTTACT